ATTTATTTTGTTACTATTAAAAAATTATTACTAATAAAGATATAAGCAAGGCCTCATCTTAAAACCAAAAAAAAAAATATATATAACTATTGCAAGTGTAACTATAGCAGAGTTAACTGTATACTCTATTCAGTATTAATAGTATAAATCAGGGTAAAACAATCTACTCTTTTTTGTAAAAAATTTATTACAATTCACTAATATCTAAAATATACAAAAAATACCAAAAATTCTATAGTAAAATAGTCTTTCTTTATCTAAAAGAAATCTATATTTCAGTAATAGCATATATAGATGATTCTTTATGATTGCATCAAACAGAGAATCACTTGCTAAAATTCTCAATACTACTTCTTTATTCTATAAATTCGCTAGTATAAAAGTCAACTTACAAAAATCTACTTTGGTAATAAATTTAATATCTCAGAACAAGTCTATATTCTTTAACAATAAATAGTTAATAGCAATTACAAATAAAACAGACACGACCAGGGCAGCCTCTGATTTTATAGATTATATAATAATATCACAGCTACAGTTTTACAATACGAATCAATTTTGATTTGCTAATTTGGTTTGCTGTTTACTTTATATCTTTTGAACAATTTTTTTTTTTTTATAAAATAAAACTTATGTCTATAATAACTAATTTTTAAGAGATCATCATGAGGTTTGACTATGAGTATTCTCAAGTGAATTACTATTTTGATGAACAAATCAGAGAGACACAAACCATCTTTTTTCTTTAATAATTTACTATTAATAAAGGTTGCTCAAGTATTATGAACATTATAAAAAATATTAATTCTATAAATATTGTTATCAATTGTTAATACTTAAATATCATCATGATTTTTATCTGATCAATTAATTTAGATACTTAAGAACAGCCTAAGTATCATATTAATTTATATTTAAATTGAGTTATTATATAAGAAAATCTAAATTGAATATTTGTAAGAAAGTTTTGTCACTCATTATATTTGTTAGCAAGTCTAAATATTGTATAATAAACAAAATAGCACAGTTAACAAATTTAAATATTTTTATATGATATTTTTTTAAATAAATATTTTAAAAACTCAATGAATATATGCCAAAATTTTTTACTAATACTCAAAAATCATAAGTTTGTATTCAAAGAATGCTCAAAATTCATTGATTCCAATCTAGTTATAAAAGTCTTTTGTGAAGCTCATCATATAAGTCTTTATAAACTCATTATATTTGTTATGCAAATCTTTGTAAAGCTCATCACATTTGTTATGTGAGTTTTTTATAATACTCATCATGTTTGTTATAAGACTTTTGTGGTATAAACAGAGATAGTTTTCTAAATAAAATTAGTATATATATAGCATAAAAACGATCATGTAATTCATTTTTTAATTGTTATAATACAGACTATTTAGATTAGCTTGATCGAAATTAGCCTATTACGTTTAGTAGCTATTTAAAAGCTAGATTGCTATGAATTATATATGAGATTAAAACTTGATTTGCCAATTTAAGTTTATTAAATAACTATGCATTACATAATTTAATATATCAAAATTTACAATTGTTATATAGTGATTTAATTTATTTTAAATGATTCAGCTATTATGATGTATTTGTTATATTCGCTATATAATAAAATTTGTAATTGTTCAAATTTCTTTAAATAAATTAGGTTAATAAAATTGATATGATACATTAGTAGTAAATTATATATTAAAACAATTAAAACAAATATTAAATAAAAAATCACAAATGGTATTATCTACAATCATTTGTTTTTATCAATATTTTAATCAATTCTTGAGACTAAATGCATTATCATCGATATTTCTGGCTTTGTCTTAACAATTGTCTTTCTCATTATTAATATTCTTTTCTTTGTTCTGGTTGCTTAATAATAAATATATAGTAGTTTTTGAATAAATATTAAGTACTGTATACCAGTATTGTCATGTCTACTATGTCTAAGACTTTTTTTACCTATGTCCATGTCCAAATATCCATAGTGTCCACAACTGTCTAAAGAATATTTAGACTTTAAAATTTGATATATTAGTTTAAAACAGATATGATTATATATTTTTTTTAGTGCTGAATATTTTTATTTAAAACATTAAAATAGGTTATCTTAATAAAATTTTGAGTAATTTGGATTTATTTTTTTGTCTAAAATTGTCTACAATTGTCCACAAATTGTCCAAAGCTGTCCTGTGACAACACTGCTATACATGATGAAAGACAAATTTTCTAAAAAAACAACCTGTACTAAAATTACATATCTAATTGTTCATAAAACATGTACTGTTCAAATTGTAAATGCAATTATTTTGAAGATAGATTCATTTAGAAAAGTACTTGATATAAAACTTATGAAAGGTGCAAAGATAACTGTAATCAAACCTCTATAAATAAATTGTTAACTGCAATTACAGATTTAACAATTGAATCAACTAGACAGCCTAAAAATATTAACCACAACACTATTACTATTCAGGAAGCAGATATTAATAATATTGTATGTGTTAAGATCAACTGCCTTGATGTGGGGGATCTTATTGAGTACAAAATCAAAGAATTAACATTTAATGAGTCTAATGTAATCTATACAGTATATCAGATACACTTGCTTGTGAATGTAGATATAACTTTAAATATAACAGCCAAGGATGTTGATGCTCTTATTGTCGCTAAAATAAAAGATGAGGATGATTATTCATAAAAGTAAGTATATATGAATCTCTTTTTTGTTTTTTATATGCATGGATGCTTTCAAGTACTTAATTCATTATTTTCTAATTCTTAATATTATAAAAAATACTTATAATTGTAGTTTTTATTATTCTAAATTGTACAAGAAATTTGGTGACAAGGTTGGTAAATTTGAA